GCCTGGCACTTTGCACAGGGAGAGACCCATCAGTGCCTGGCACTTTGCACAGGGAGAGACCCATCAGTGCCTGGCACTTTGCACAGGGAGAGACTCCATCAGCTCACTGACAGCCCTGACTCTGCTGTGGGTAAGGGCTTGACAATTCTGACTAGCACAAAGCAGCACTACAGAAGATTCACTTATGTCTGCACTAGGAAACAACTAAACCGGTTGGTAACAGCCTCTATTTTGGCAATAACTTCATCTAGTTGGGTTTGGACTCAGTGTCCAACTGAGTCTCTCTGAATTGTCTGTGTCCTGGGAACTGCATTGGCACAGCTGAAGGAAGGTCTATCAGACTGTACCACATTACTATCTAATGACTTTTAAACTGAATTATGCTGAGATTCCAACAATTTTCATTTCTTTTAACCTATAATATATTAATAATCTTTTATTATATAAAATTAGTTTATGATAAAACTCAGCCAGGAAAGACTCCAAGGAACACGTTCGCTTCACTGGGAGCTGGAAGGACATCAGAGAATAGCAGACAATACACAGAAGAAAGCTTACAAGAACTGTAAGCAGCAGAGCTTGAATTTTTGGGTCAGTCAGAACCTCTTCATCCAGGAGGACGTTTGACTCGGAAACGGAAACTTTCCGGAGATGAGGGTGTTGCTGTGGTGATATTCTCTGGGTTTCTGCCAGATAAAAAAGAGCAAAATAAACCCAAAGCAAGACAGGATCAGCTCCTGCACAACAGATTCAGTCATGTGCAAACCTCAGAGTTCACCAGCCTCTTCAGCGAGGTGACAGCAACGACTGTGCTGGAACAGAGCAGCACTGGACCAGTCCATGGGATGTGGTATCGGATGGCAAACAAAAACCCCAATTTCCTTGTCAGTGAAATACAGGCCCAGGGGTGTAAGTACCAAATTCAGGGTCAGGCAGATACAAGAGAAGAACCCTGGTCTTGCATTGCAATTGGGGGTGGGGGCACAGGAAGCAGATGGGGGAGAAGATGAAGAGAGGCATTCCAGGCATCAGGTCACATTCCATCTCCTGCAGGAATCTGCAGCTGGGGCTTATTAACTTATAACAAGCCAAATGTTGTTTATTTGCTTGCACTCCTATATGCAGGACTTTGGGGCTGCCCTGATTCTGCACCTGTAAACTGAGCAGCTCCAATTCCAGCCTCAGCTGCCCGTGATAGGAAGGCTGCACCCTGCAGAAGCACTGCTAAGAAAGGTGCTTCTCCCTTACCTTGGAGTAACCTTGGTAAATAAACGCTCAATTTAGAAATAATCCTTTGTATAGATATACAAAGTGTTCATAATTAGTATTATTCTTAAAATGTTAGTCCTGTTTCTCACCCATTTCATAATCATTTTCGGCTACTCTCCTCATTTTGGGAGGCGTTGTGATTCCAGATTCCATGTCTTGCCTTTTAGGAGCCTTTGTGTCCGATATCAAATGGTCAAAACTTTTCCTTGTACCTAAAAACAATTTATCAGGCAATTAAAAACATTAAACCTGAATCCATTTTCTAACTTTTTCTGATTTTCTGGCCAAGCTACTCCCCTGTCTACCGTGTACTGCCAGGAATCTGGGGACATTCTCCCGTTCTCCGGGATGGGACAGACAGGACGGTCACACCATGCCGCTCTCCATCACAGTTTCCAAAGTGCTTCACAACACACATGAGGAGAACATGCAGTTAGTCAGGTGGGCATGCCATGGACCCCTGGGCACCACACCACACTGAGACACATGCCACAAGGTGGGTACTGAAAAGGAAGCAGGAACAGGGCTGCAATGAAGGAAATGCCCCTCTTCTGCCACCTGGGTAAGGCCAAAGGGCTCCCGCAAGTTCTGCAGAGCAACTCAGCTCGTTCCTCTGATAACAGACTTGGTTTGGAAACACGATGCCCTGAGAAGCCATGAACACAAAGCAGATTGCTTATAAAACATCTCCAGTGTTCTGGGACCATCTCTAGCACAAACCAGAGCAGCTGAGCTAAGTATTCACTTCTTGGGTTTGCTGGATAGGGCTGGTAGCAGAAAATTGGCACGAGGAATCTTTAGTGACTGGAATACATTTTTTTCTTCCTTTTCTCCCTTTTCCACTTCACATGCACATTTTGAGTGTCACTCTTGCTCCCTCCCTTCATGACCAAAAGAACTGAGTCCTCTTTAACTGTCCAGTGTCCTGCAATTTGTATTTTGCAGAAACTGTACATACTCCTCTGAATCAGGACTAAGCCCTTAAAGTCAGAACCAATACAAGAGAATAATTTTTCTCCAGTAATGTTTCCCAGGGTATTCTGCAGAAAAAAATCAACAACTTAGTTATCTTAAATAACCTAGAAGCTTTTTAGTGTTGGCTTGTGAAGGCTGCCCCATGTCCAGGCTCATGGATTTCCGGGTGCGGGGGCTGATCTGTCCCACGGTCGGGTAGTTGGCAGCCAGGTGTCTGTCTGACCCCTTGGGGGATGACCAGGGCTGGTTCTCCTTTAGTGTCCTGCAAGTGCAAAGAAATTAAATTAAGGAAATCTTTAAAACTCTGCACATTTAGGCCTAAGTTTCTCAAGCAGCCAAACTATCCTTTATTAAACCCATCTTTCCCACCAAGTTAATTTACCCTAAACACATATTAAGACATAGTAATTACTTTGCTTGCAAAAATGTCTGAGGTAGTGAAACCAAACAATCTGATGTGAATGCAATGCTGAGGAGATAAAAAATAAAGTAATGAAAAGAACACAAGCGAATCAGCCTATGGGGCAAGAAGAAACATATTTAATATGCAGCTACTTCATGCTCAATGCTAAAAATAGAGATCCTGAGCAAGGTGCTCCCTGTCGAGAGACACAGGCTCTCCATGGCACTTCCAGGCTGATTCCCTGGCTGATGTCTCTGGTTGCACACAGACAGGCTGTAATAAGGTGTCAGGGTTTTCCAGTGGCACAGACAAGTACATGCCTTGGAGCTCTTAAAAGCACAAACAAAACTTTCTTCTAAAATATAAATGAGATTAAATCAGATTTGTAGAAAGATGCTAACAAAAAGTATTACAGCCTCCAGAGCAGTTAAACTCTGAAATAGTTTTATGGATTTGAAAACTGAAAATTAAATCTGTGTGAATTCCAGGCCCAAATTTGTCTTTGACTCCTGATCACAGTGGAAGCAGTAAATTGGTCAGGAACCAGTCACAGCCCAGGAACTCAGCACTGTCAGTGGGGGTTCAGCCCTTATTATACCACAGGTTATCTCCAGGTCACTTCCTAAAGGAAACAGATATTGCCATTTGGATAACTTATGTAGAAGTCAGACAACCAACCTATAGCTAGTGTCACTGTGATGAATGGGATATGTATCCATAGGAACATTTTCCATTGACACGTCTGTCAACAAGAGAGACTTCCTATGCTTTAGGCTGCAGCGGCTCCGAACCTCCTCAGACACCGTCAGCAGAGCTGGAAATGCATTGAACAATATGAACAATATGCCCTCAATTTACAGTTTTTACTGAGCCCAAAGAAGACCACTGAGCTGTATTTACACCTTATGAAATATACAGATTAAAAGCAGGTCATTTAAAAAGAATTATACTCCCCATCCAGTTACAATGACAAGATTTACACATTGGCCCTCACATGTCACAATTTCTATTTCTAGACCACTAGAAATTTGAATGCTCTAAGACACACCCTTCAGTATTTACACCAAGAAACCTTCAGCCTCCCTGAAGGATTTCCAAAGCTGCAGAGCAGGTGCTGTGCTGGCAAAGCCCTCAGTCCCCAAACAGCTGTCCTTGATGAACCCACCCTGCCCACACTCCTGTCCACCTCCAGTTACAAGTTTCCTTTATGCTGGTACAATTCCAACAACCTAAACCTGAAGGAATTCTCAAATAATCCACTCCTTTTCCACCAGCACAGATTGAAAAGGCAGTTTGGTCCATTTTACCTGCCAGGTAAGCCACGCTCTGGGTGTTCACCTCGAACTTGTCACAGTTCCTGTGTTTGTTAACCAGAGCGAGGAGTGTGTGCAAAATCCTCACTGTCCTTGCTACAGTGGTAGGAGAAGGATGCCTGTACCCTAAGAAACAAAATATTGCATTTAATTCTTGAACCCATATTTCTGAAGCATTAATATTTTGAAAATACTTATGAAGATTTTCCAGCAGGTTCTCAGGACACTCTGTCTCAAGGGTAAGGAAGCACAGTGCTGACAGAAATTGCATATTCAAGACTAGTTCTTTCTGTCCCATCCCTCAAAACCACATAATTTCAAATGTTTGTGCATGCATTGTATCTATTGCCCCACAAATCAGTCTTCTAAAAGGAACAGTGAGCCTGAGTGCAGGCAAACACACAGAGAGACACTGGAGGAAGAAGTAAAGAACTGCAGCAAATGAAGCCCCACGTCCTGTGACAGTTCAGAATTTACAGCATTAAAGACCTTTCTAGGACATGTATAAAGGAAACCTGGCAAAGTCCTTTAGTCAAAGAACATTTAATTCTGCATCTACTCTGTAATCCAAGTTACTTAAAATCCACCACCCTGTTTGTGCCCTTTATGCTTGGACTTGTTTTTATTTCCAAATTAAGAGTGTTCATCTAAAAGGAACAGCAGTATACACTCTTACCTTTCAGGAGATGTCCCACTAGTGCAAAGTTAAAGTTGGAATTGAAATTTAGCCCAACAAAATGATCCATTTGCTTGCAGTGCCATTCAAGTGGTCTCCTGATCTCCATGAACACCTCTTCTGGGCTCTGACCCAAAAGAAATAAAATAAAAGAGTACCTCACTGGAAGTTACTTTTTTAAACTGACAAAACAGTTCCTTTAAGAGGTCACAGGAAAATATCAGACACTTTCTCACAGATCACATCTGGACATTTCTGTTCCAGTTTCACACAGAGCAATAAGAGCTTCATCTCCACATCTTAGTTCTGCTGTTGATATCACTTAAGTGAAACAATTTCTAATGCAAATTTCAGGTTTAGTTGCTTAAGCAGTGCCCACAAGGACAAAGTTGGGTTTTTTTTCCCCTTCTTTAACAGCTCTGACTGCTGACATCACTGAAGGGTCAGCCAGAGCTGAGTGCTGCCAGCTCACCTTGTCATTGAACACCCGCAGGCTGTCCAGGGTGTGCAGGTTCTGCTCCAGCAGTGCTGTTCCTGCCGAGTACAGGTTCACCTCATCCAGCTGCAGCACTGCCATGGCCACCCAGAAGAGAGCCTTGTGCATAGGAGAGTCCTGGAGGGGAGAGAAAGAGCCACCAGTTCACTTCCAAGTCAGTTCCTGTAGATGAACAACAACCAGGACCCACGGGGGGGTTTGTCCTCCTCGTAGCAGGTTTTGTCCTCAGCCACATCCATTCCAACAAAACAGATGCTCCTCCTTGTACCTGCTGGTTTGCTGCTCAAACAGGGCACCTGACAGTACCCTCAGCTGGGTGAACTCCCAGCAAACCAGGCCTGCCACTTCCTCCAGCCTGACGTGGAAGGGCCGTACCAGCAATGACACCCCAAAGCCAGGGCTGGAAATGCTGTGGAAAGCAAGCCTGGGAACAGCCTCTGCCCACATGGCCATGGCCCAGTTTGGGGAAGCAGAACAGAACATCCTGCAGCATTTCCAAAGCCTTTGCACAGGTCCCACAGACAATCTGCCACATGTCCCATATGTGGTACTTCCAAGCATGAGTCACAGCAGTGAAGTGGGAACTTCAGATACCCCAACACTTATCTGAGATTATACCCACAATTAGAACTTTAATTTATAAAATTCTCTGTTTACTCTACAAAGCCAGTTATTTACCTTGTTAAGAAGAGGCTGCAGCTTGGTGAGGGCTATAACTGTGGCTTCTATTAGAACTTGGCTATTGTAATTATCAGGGCCTTTTAAACAGCTCTCAAGTCCCTTTTTGTAAGAAAAGAGAATAATTAAAAATACAACCATAATTACATTTTGCTTTGTAAAAAGAAGATCAAAGCTCTACACAATAATTGCAGCTCTCAATTATTTACAAAGCCTGAGCTCATTTTACACCAATTCTCAAGAACTTTTCCAAATGGAGATTTACACAGCAGTGATATATGTACTGCTGAGAGCAGCTGCACAACGGGCACCAGAACAGCCAGGGTGCAGAGCAGGGTGTAAGAGCTGGAGAGAAGCTCTTTTATCATTTAGATGCCATTCAATTAAAGTTTATGTCCATAAAACTCGAATAAAATGCTTAAAGGACACATATTTAGCACACTGTTCACTTGCTATGGAACACAACCTTCTTCAGAAAAAGGGAACATCACTGTCAGTCCAGGCAGCCTGTTTCGATTTTTTCTGATATAAATGTCCTGCTCTTTACTGTATTTACTTACAACACATGAGGTTATGCACTTCCTTTAGGAGAAAGGAAGTTGTGAATCATGTGTATGCAGGTAAACACCTTAACAGAAAATTTCTCATTTATTTAAATAACTGACTGTTGAATCCACCTCTGTCTCATATGTTAAACTCAATATCGAGCCCTATTGTTACTCTACAAGTCACAGCAGTGACAGAACCTACTGCCACCAAATCAATTCAAAATAAAAGGCCTGGCCTACAGAAAGCGTATTTCCAATCAGTTCTATACAAAAATATGCTTGAAAAATATATTTATCCTCAAATTATGCCAAGTTCTATATTTGATGGGAAGATAGAACTAAAATTAGCTACTTTATGAGTCACAAAGAAAAACAGACAGCCCCATATACCTTGCTGAGAATTCGGATGATTTGTTTTATTTGTCCATGAGACACACGTTTACTTATACAGCCAAAAACAACCAGTGCTCTTGGCTGCAGGGAGGGGTTATACTGGAATGCAAACCTATGAAGAAACAGAGGACACTGCATTAAACAACATATATACAACAACAAAAATATATATAACAAAAAGCTGAGAATTTCGGGTGTGCTACACAGGCAGGGTGTGACATCTACCACGTACTTTTGAGCTAGTTCAGTCCACTGGTCCAGCCACTTGCACGTTGGAATATCCCTCATACAGGCCTAAAAAGAATTAGACTGTTTGAATGCATGTGACATTAAGTAGAAGTACTTTGTAAATTCAGTGTGCAGCAGTTTACTCTCAGGAGTCAGCTCTGGGTATCTCTAACCATGCCAGGGGGTGGTGTCCCTGCACTGCCAGCCTGCAGCAGGGCAGCAGTGCCCCTCTCCCTCAGGGCCCTTCCCTGAGGCCCCCGTACCTCCATGATCTCCAGCAAGGCCTCGGTGACGGTCTCCAGCGAGGTCAGAGCGAAGGTCTCCCTCTCGTAGGAGCCGGGCGAGAAGGACCTGTCGCGGTAGCTGGAGCGGAACGCGATGACCGCGGCCGACTTCACCTTGCTGATCCCAAACAGCAAATAGAACTTGGGCAGAGAGAACTCAGTCAGGCTCAGCCTTAAAACTTGCTTGGTCTCCTCTGTGGAATAAAGATTTACATATCAGATTTATACCTTGGAAGTTCCAACTCACATTTTAACGCTCTGAGGCCTCGCCCTCCCAACACCAGAGCAGATAAACAGCCTGCAGGTCACTGCACAGTCCAACACTGTTCCCTTTGCTGCTGCTCCCCAAATACACCACAACAGCTGGGCCCCCCTGCACTGATTGTTGAAACCAGGCACAAGGAAGAGGGATTCTAAAAACAGGTACAAAGCAACTTTCTCAAAGATGTGGTTCTGTGACTTCTCCTCACACTGATTCAGGAAATGGAAACCCAGAGCGTTCCTGTTCTGAAATACCAACAGAACTGGAGGTTCAAACTGCAGCAAACTCTGCTTTTGGCTCTGGCACTGACATGAAGAAAGCCACTTAAAGCAGAAGAAAATGATGGCCTGTTCCTAGCACTGACTATTTTCACAGTTCTGTCCTTGCAGGTTATCTCGGTGCACTCCAACCCCCCGTGCAAGCAGGAGGGCTCAGGGAGGCTCCCTGTGCCAAAGCACTGCCTCTCTCTGTGTGTGTGTGTGCACCCACTCACCCCTTCCATATATATAGACATAACTTGAGCTTTCAGATACTTAAAAAAGGACAAGATTACAGAAACTTGGAAATTTTTTTTCTGCACAAAATCCAGCCTGTGCTTCTGTGGTAAGAAGTGGCTAATTGCTAATACCTCTTATTTATGACTGCTAAAATACAACAGTAGATAAAATACCTGTTTTACACTGTAGCTTCACAATTCCCTTATGTAATTGATATTTTTGTTACCACATTATGCAACCCATTCACAAGATGCACATCAGCCAGTTTTAGCACAGATTGTATTTTCTCCTTTGCCTCACCAGAAACTCACTGGTACTTTCTTCTCTTTTTCTAAAACCCATTATACAATGGGTTTTAGAAACTTATACAAACAATTTGCATTATGCACCTGCTCTAAACGAGATATTTTTTATTTCCATACTCATTTCTTGTTGATCATATCTTTGTTCTGATTTGTATTCAAGCTGAGCTACAAAGCTCTATTTTCAAACTCTCAGAATAGTTTGCAGAGAGAATGACAACTCAAATATTTGCTAAACAAATTAAGGAGCAATCATCTTCACTGAAACTCCAAAAAAACTCACCACTGAAGTGAAGCTGTGAACAAGTGCACAGAGAGTGAATGATGTTGATGACGAGACCGTGAGTGGAAGCTCTGAGGGAAAGGGGGCCCGTGGCCACCAGCAGAGTGACCACGTGGAAGAGGTAGGGGAGGTGTGCAGCCACATCCAGGGAGTTGTTGAAGGACAGCATGAGCATGTAGCGGGCCAGGATAGCAATGTCATCCCACATCAGGTGCTGCTCCAGCGTGGGAGTGGGGGACAGACAGGTCTTGTCGATGATTTTACACATCCTCCCAATCACCTGCAAAGAGAGCAACCATCCTGTTGTGCTCAAACGAGGAGCCCAGCTCAAAATCCAGTAATAACCACCACAATTCAACACTGGAATGATTCTATTGCTTGGAAGCTATTTTGTCATGGTTTCTGCATCATTGCCTGCACTGAGATCAGAAAGCATCTCAGTGTCACATTAGCAGATAAGTTGAAATTATTATATAAAAGGAAATTAAGGCAAAGAGGGAACTCACTTTGCTTGACACGAGTTTGACGTTGCCAGAAGCCAGTGCCACAGCCGTGTCTGCCATCACCTCAGCTTTGATGGAGCCCAAGCCCCCCGTGGCACTGGTTTTGATGAAGCTGTCCAGCACTACATCCAGGAGATCTGTTATCTGAGACAGGAAAGAAATCCTCTCTTACCAGGCAGCTTAACTTTGGTTTCCCACAGTGAAGCACCACTGAAATCAGCAACTGTACATTTCTTTAGCTGAAGATGCAAAACTATCACAAACTGAAGCATCAGTTTTAGTCACTCATTATTCTTTTGGCAAAAAGCCTCGTGTAAATTTTAGAACCATAAAGCTGAATTCCATCAGGTTTTACTCGAAATGCTTCAGTACTGTGGAGAAACTATAATTTATTTTGCACTATTTTTATTTTGGTTTCCACTTTGAAAGCATAACTATTTATAAAATGCTGAACACAGTAAGAAGGAACTGGATTTGAAGCAGAAAAAAACGTATTTCCAAGAAAATAAGCAAGATCTGTCTGTCACAGTTCTTGCTTAGAGCACAGTCGTGTGTGAATATGGCTGCCAGTAAAACAACTTTCTTCTCATGTTAAATAAAAAGACATTTAATACATATGCAGGTAAGAAGCTGATCCGTCCAAGAGCACAGAACCCTCAAACTCTAGAGGTAACACCCAGGCAAACACTGATGCTATTTCAGTACTGGTTCAAACTCAGCTCTCATCACTTCATCAGAAGCGGTTGCAACTCCGGTCAGGTCAATTCAGTCAATGACAAAACTTCCACCGACTGCTGTGAAATATTTCATCTCTTTTGTTCTCCATATTTACCTGCTGACTGCCTCTGATACTGGACATAACAGTCATACAGCTTTAAGTGTGATTTAAGCTTTCAAAATAAGCTAGGTTTTTTGTTTTGTTTTGGGGGGTTTTGTTGGGTGTTTTATGCCAATGGAACAAGGAAGAAATCCCACTCATGCATCCATTTGTCAGGTCTCCCACATTCTCCAAGACCAGCTCTTTGATGCTGGGCTACAGCAGTTTGGATGGCAGTTAAAAAAAAAATCACTAAAATAGTGTGCCAAGGAGGAAGTCGATGCAAAGCTCGTGGGGGAGCCTGGCCACAGGAAGCACATTTGCCCAGACACCTTCCCCTTGAATGGCATGTGTGGCGTCAGCTTTACTCTTCTCATGCTGATGATTAAGCTAATCATCAACAGGATGGGAATCAAAATGCCTCTGTTTCAAAAGTGCAAACAGAAAAAAATGTGTTTGTTCAATGCCATGGGCCTCATACCCCTCAATGCCAGTGCTCTGCTCTTTCCATCCAGACCCTCCACCCTGGGGTTCTGATCAACTCATTACTACTGTTACCAACAGCTCGTAATTTTCAATTCTCAGTAAGGGCCAGGAACACATTTCTAGAAGCCAGAGTTCACTAATGATTCTATGAAGCATTTTACAGAGTGGAAACTTCAGAAGAACCTGCTCACTGCTCTCCGTGTGGCTCACACACCGGGACTGTGTTAGGAGCCATTTTATTCTTCTGCATTAACATTTAAGTGGTTAAAAACTCTATAATCTGTTTACAAATGGTGCAGAATTTGTACCTGTCCAAGACTTCCCCATATCTTAGCTTGAATGGAAGGATACATCTGTTTCTCATTTATTGTCATTGTGATGAGCTTATCCAGAATAGCAGTGACTCGCTGGCGCTTGGCATCGTCGTTGTGCTTGCAGAACCTGACCAGGTTGGACAGCCAGGGAGTCATGTACTCCAGACACAGGTGTTTCAGCTCAATGCCTGAAAGAGAAATGCACCTTGGAACACAGAACCAGCACTGGCCTCTGTTCATAAATCATTCTTTGTGAGCACTTTTCCTTTCAGCTTTGCTGTCTAAAATACTGTCAGAGCTGAGCAAAGAACACTGGGCAAACAGAGAAGCTTCAAAAAGAAACACTAATAACTCCAATAATTACACCCAAGAAACATCTGTAGGCATCTGGCAAGGAGATGGTGACATTTTAATATCTTATTACAAGATGTGACATAAAAATGTGCACATTCAATGTTAGGCAGGACTACTTAAATTAAAGTCTTTTTAATCTTTGGAAAATATTCTAAACAGCTCCCAGCAGTAAAGTTAGAGCTGTGTTATGCCTGGAAAAAAGAGATGGCTCAAGGAGGGCAACAGAGCCAGATGTACAACAGAGAGAGAGGATCCTTGGAGAAGATCAGCTCTGATATGACTAAAGAACTTTGTAACTCTTCTGTGCATGTGTATTCCAGAGTTCAAACCTTCACTATCATGGACCTCAAATTTAGGCTTTTGTTCTATAATATTCTCCACTTCTGGTGCATTAGTAACAGCCCAACAGAAATCTACCCAAAGTAATCACTGTACAAACTATCACAGGGATATGAAAGGAATTGTTTGTATTGTGATCTCTCTGAATGCACTGACCTCTCTCAATGAATGAGATGTCAGGTAAAACTTGTTCTAACATTAATTTCAAAGTTTAAAAAAAAAAGGCAGCTGCCTTTTAATCTGCTTCAGGAGAAAGGAAGAGGGCACATTCAAATATGAAAAGTTTTGTTCCAAGAGCTGCCATCCAGTCTGGGAAACTGCCTGCCCTGAGGGTGTTACACTGCTGGGCTCCAGGGACACAGACAGGAATGGATCATCTGCAAACCAGCCCCAAGCAGAATTTGCAATTTAAACTGACTGTAACTCAGTAAGCTTAACTGACTAAGCCAGACAGCTACTAACCTAAATCCTGTCACATTCAGGGTGAGCATTAAGACACACCAGAGTTACTCACTGGATTTGCTAAATCCCGAAATACACTCCTCCAAGAACTCCAAGGTGAGGTGTGGCTCGTTTGCTGCAAGAGTCTTACTGATAGATACAATAAATAGTGTGTTGTTGGCAGGAATACACAGACCTGAAGTTTCCAGTAACTGGCCCTCAATCTTTAAATTAAAGGTACAGGTTAAGGCACATAGGAGATTATAGGCAGCAGACCTGTAACAAAGCAAACAACATGATTTGTAGGAGTTTTCTTGTACATTTGAAAATATACACATTGTTCATCACAGTAGCAGTATTGACATTTTAAAAACCAAATCCATTTTAAAACCCAAATCTATAGTAGAAATCACATCTAAATCCTGAACTTTTCCCCTGCACCAGTTACAATTCAGAGACAAACACACTTGCCTTGGAGAAACAGAAGAAATTATTCTTCCACTTGCTCTGAACAATTTCAGCTGAGGGTACAGAGTGTGCTTGAAGGGCTTTGTATGGGACTTCTCAGAATGGCTTGTAGTTCCAGGAAATCCTAAATCATTCCAGGTGCACCTGAGCTGCTGGACAGAGCCTGCCCAGGGCCCAGAGGTGCCCCTGGCCAGCACACAGCCCAGAGGAGCCCGTTCAGACATGGATCATGAGCCTGCTCTAAGGGGTACAGCTCCCACATTATTAAACAACAGGTTCAACACCATGGAAATCAAATGTACCTAATAAACATACAGTGCAAAGCAGAAGTATTTCTCCTTATAAAGAGAAATTAAGCTTCCTACATGACTTCAGTTCCTCTCACAGTGTATGCCTTTCTTCACCTATAGAAACCCAATCTTCCTTTATTAGAAATTACTCTTTATGGAGCTGTGGTGGCAGAAAAACAATTAGATTTTCTAAACTAAGGAAGCCTTGGAGAGAATTCTCACATTTTGACCAAAGCTGGTATTGATTTCAAAGCTCTGTACCTCAGACTGGGGTCTGAGCTCCCCAGGTTGAGCAGTGCTATGTTCAGCAGCGTTCCAGGGACATCCTTGGGACGGATTTTGGTGTGCTGAGGGATGGAGTCCGGCTGGGACAGCTCCCACCGCGTCCGGATGTGGATGATGGACCTCACGATGGCTTCACACTCCTGATGCATGAAGGTGAGGGGTGTGCCTTGGTTGGCAATGGTCAGGGTGAACTGATTCTCATCAACAAGACAGATTTCCTCAATCTCAGAGGCGTAGTAGATGTCATTCAAAAACACTGTCTGGCCCAGGACCCGTGTTCGCTCTGCCGATGTCACCTGCACAGCTGTCGACCCAACCTTAGAAAGAGAACAGAGAATTGGCACCTACTGTTAATCATACCAAGAGAAAAGTCTGACACTCCTAATTTTATAAAAGATAAACATATGAAATTTTATACTTCTTAAAGGGGCATACTAGAAATTGTGATTTCTCCTCAAAATGGAAGGAGAACTAAGAGACAGAAAAATCACCAGGGACAGCACTAAAAGCACTTACTTTAATAGAAACTTTGGTGTCTTTATGAGCCAGTTTGAGAGCATTGTGAAACACTTTCAAGTCCTCCTCCAAAGCCAAGGTAGCTGCTGGGAGCTTCTGCTGGTCGTGTTCGATGTGCTCTGCCAGCTTCCCTGGAGAGTCTATGAAAACAAGCCTTTTGCTTCCTTTCAAACCTGTCAAGAGTCTTTCATGGTATTTGGTGTATTCTCTGACCCAAGAGTTACAGTTATAAATAAAAACTGCTGCGACATTTTCATAAGCAAAGCCTGGAAAAACTACAAACCATTTAGAAAGAAAGTCTGTTTTAAAGCGATTACTGGGGCCAGCGTGGGTGAGGTCCACCACGATTTCATATGGCTTTGCATAGTATGGCTTCAGGGTCAGCAGCACGTGGTAGATGAGCAGATCACCATTGATCTGGCCAGTCTTGAACCTGTGGGACGAGACAGACATGGCTGGGTTACATCTGAGAGCCACAGCACAGAGCCTGGGCCTCAGGCCACAAACAGCACTCCCACCATGGACACGAGCCAGGCTGAGCCTCCACACCACGGAGCCACCTCAGGGGCACCACACTGGCCCCTGCCACTGCTCCCCAGGGTCACAGCCCAACTCTGTTTAGTGCCCAGTGTGCTGGAGCTCGACCTGGGATTCAACTCAACCTCATCCTGAAGTGCCCCACGACCTCCCACAGCCAAGTGACCTCCAGGAGGTTTGTTCAACTAAGGGAAAAATCCAAGCCATGCTGGAGCAGCAGTGCAGCTGGATTGCATGGAAAGAGCTCAAGAGTTTCTTTAAAAATAAAAGTGCCTCTAACTTTGTTACCACTTTAGAGATTCAAATTATATCTATTTTTGTATGTGGAAAAATATACTTATCTCAGGAGTTTTAATTAAGAATAAATAAACATCCACACACCAACTTTTTCGAATCAGACCCATTCCATTTGCTATATACTGCAACACTCTAATGCTTGGGGGAGTGTTTCCAAGAATGGTCAGTCCTCTGAGGACTACAGAGGATTTGTCTACAAAAATAACTCTTTCTGGAAAAACATTCACATAATTAAGAATAATTTTTCTCATTTAAAGATTCTGCGAATTTTGAGACTGGGCAACACATCTGCCTAAATCACATCTCCAGAGTTCACACAGCAGACAGAATTCCACTGGGAAGAATTAATTAAAGATAAATACATCAGTAGCTCATGAAAATTTAAGGTACTTTTAAATCCCTGCCACTGTTCTTTAACTCAACTCTTTCAAGCGAACAGCAGGATACAGGCAGAGCTACTAAATGTTGTAGGCACAGCTGCAGCTTTGAGGGTACCAGGGCACCTCTCCTGCTAACACCCGAGTGCAGGACACCTGAGGAGATGTCCTGGACACAGAACATCTGTCTGCCAAGAGCCTTTTCTCCCGTCCCTTCCTGCTGCTCTGAGCTGGGCAGGTCGGTGTTTTCCCCCTCCAACTGTCACGGTGTGGCCGTTACCAAAAGGAAGTGTGTCATCACTGTGGTTTGAGTGCCCCACTCAGAGCAAACGAGACGTCATTTCAGTTCCAGATTTGCCTAAAACATACCAGCATTGCCCAAAACTCCTTGCTGCACACTGATGGTCATTTGCATCCTAAGAGCAAATATATGCACAAAGAAATCTTATTGTTAAAGGACTAAATATCCGAAACACCCATTTTCTGTTGAATACATCTTGGCAAGGTAAGTACCCATTTTCCTCCTTCTATTTTAAGTAGCACTCCAAAGTTTCTTACATTTTGTAGAAAATAATATGCAAAAGTATTTTAAAAGAAGTTCAAGTAACTCAAAAATAGTAACAAACTGTAGAAATATTATCTCAACTGAATCAAGGAAGCTGAGAAACTGTTATTTTCAGTCCTGTTAAAGGTTATTCGTGATCAGACTCCAAGGAATTAGCAGTGACAGTCACTACTTAGCTCTGTTGTTCCTGCACTGCAGATCTCAGTGGGTACTGACACTCTGTCAATACCCAGGGTTGAACTCAAAAGAAAAACAGCTCTTTAAAGATCAGTTCCTTTGCTCTGGTGATTTTAAGCGGAGCCCTTCACGCCAGCAGCCTGTTGATTTTTAAGAAAGGCCATCTGGTGTGGGCCACTACAATGAACAGTGGGCTCAGTGTGCTGGGGCAGCAGGAGGAGCTGCTCCCTGGGCACTGCCAGGAATGCCCAGTGTGCCTGTGCCCGTCCTGCACGGCCGGAGCCTCGGCCCCAACGGGCTCAACAAAACAGGCTTGGCTTTCTAGCTCCCCTTTGTAAAGTGTGCTACAAAGGATCATTCAGGTGACTCCTACCAGGAACAGATAAAAACTCCCACTGAGCTGGAGCTGATCACTAAGATGGTTGGAATGTTTTGGAGAATTATTTTGTAGTATGGGTGAACTGCAAAGTTAAAGACACAGATCTTCTGCTGCTCTTTTGCCATGTAAGGAATGACCTCCTCACACAGGTGTGTCACTGCTTTCCTCTCCCCTGGTCACTTCTCTCCTCTTCCCAGAGTCCCTCAGCAATTCCAAGTGCTGCCATCTGGATTTTGCAAGATAGGAAGTTCGCCCCTCTGGTTTCTGGGAGTGAACAGATCCCATTCTTTGGTAGGTGTGCAAGCTTCTGACTATGAGAAAAGCAAACACTGTCTGGAGTATTTCAGAATTACCAAATTTTACACACACAGACAGATACACTTTGTTACCTTTAAAAACAAATTTGTTCAAGAACAAATATACTTATAAAATTAACACTGTTCCTTTTGGTCATTCTCTGTAGTATTTATATCTGAAACCAACAGAGTCTGTAATATTCAAAGGAAATATTCTGATATGTTACTAGAGGCCCTGGATGGGACACCAGCCTTAATCTCTGAACATCTCGGGTGCAGCAGCAGTGGGTGGGTCACAACTTTGCTGATTCCTTGCTGCTATTTTGAGGGTTTTATCTCAATATCAGACCCATCAGTATCAGAAACTATCAGTTTCCTGCCCTGCAGACAAATTCAACAAGTACAAATTTGAATACCACACAAATGTGAAACAGAATATATTAATGGTTAATCTCATTGGCATAATTATCTGAGACATTTTAAAGAAAATGTCACAATCTGTAGCATGTTTGGAAGAAAAATGCAAGTACGTTTATGGTAAATAGCTTTTTGTACAAAAAAGCAGAAAAATTGGAGAACAAAGATTTTCCTGGGCATTTCAAAGTACTCCAGACAGCTGTGCTAGAAAATAGAAACAGTTCACAAAAGCTACTGCTGTCACAGGAACGTTTTGGGTGGAAGTTTTCCCCTTGCCCACCCCTACCAGCATGGTTCCATTGCCCATGCCCAGGGGAATGCAGGGGGGAGGGAAGCAGTAAACCTGAGGTGGTTTCTCCCTCCCCTGTGCAGAAGTGAGGAGTGAGGAGCTCAGAGTGTAACATGGCCAGTGCTGGAGAGGGGGAACTGCCAGAGGCTGCCCCGACACCACCGGGCACGGGGTAGGAAACACTTTCCTTTCTCTCTTTGCCCCATGTTCTTTTTTAATATTCCTATATTTTCTATAAGCCCCAAACTATCAGAAGTTGGAGACAACTGATCCTTTCACAAAACTGAGTGCCTGAACTCACGTGCCACATCCACTAAAACTGAGGCCAACTTACACACACTGTCCATCAAAAGGCTGCTCCCCGCTATGCCCTCAGAAGTCTGCTCCAAACCCCCAAGAACCAGCACTTGCTCAACTAACACCACCATCTGTATTTTTGCAGGGAACTAACTAGGAAGATGAAGACAAAGAGATGCACTAACCCACGCTTGGCCTTCCCTGTCACGATGATCTTCTCCCTGTGTTTGCAAACGAGTGCGAACCACAACGGTTCCCTTCGGGTTAGAGAGGAGACCTGGAATCCCATCAGCCAGAACCTCAGTGGGAGCCAGAACAGAACAGAAGCCAATACAAATTCTCCTCTGAGCATCAATTTCAGCAGCAAAATTACTACCTTTGAAATGCAAAGTACCCTGCAGTCCTTCTCCTCCACAATGGCCCCAAATCCAACATCTTCCCCTGCCACAGGTGCAGTTTCTGCCACTGCAGGACCCAGGAATACCAGCAAACCCAAGAGTCCAGTGACCAAAGAAACATGTGAAGACAGTAAGTCTCTTGTACTGATCTGCTTCATTATCATTGCAGTACTTGTGCTTATCTGCACCTTCCTGTTTCTGTCAACAGTCGTAATAGCAAATAAGCTGTCCTATCTCAAAAAAACTCAGCAGGGGAAACGCAGGCCCAGGAGCAACGGGGACATTGTGGCCACCAGCAGCTTATGGCCAATGGCAGCAGGAACGTGGCAGAGGATGCCCAGGGAGACAGCTGGAACTGAGCTGACAATGCAGGACTTGCTCTCAGGGAGGGACACAGGGAACAGAAGGAAAACTGAAGATGAAACTACTGAGAAACTCACTACAGCAACAGACAATGCACAGGAAAACAAAGAACCATCCCAGCCACACAAACCCATTTTAACCAATTTTGTAGTTGAGATTTAATTCACACTCCAGTAAAAATTCATCTTCTGCCCTTTTTACGCCATTAATGTAAGGCAAAACCTCAGCTTTTAAGAAACATCAATTTTCCCCTGGGAAAGCTGAATTCAGATTTTAGGTTTTTTTTTCTTTATGCCAGTGGGAATGCTGGAGCCATGTGTGGATCTAGAAAGGAATAAGACTGTGTTAAACAGCTTTCTGTACTGAGTGTCACAGCTGGTTTTACTCCTTGGACCAGAAATCCCTGTGACAGGAGCTGAAGGAGATAAAACAAAGGGACAGAATCTGCCCGTGCTCAGGGCAGAAAGGAACAGACTGTTAGTCTGATAAATGCACCCAAGCATGAGACACAGGTATAACCAAGTAGCTTTTTTAAGAAAACCATACATCAGTCACAACTTCAACCACTGAATCAGGATCTAGTCCCTCTCAACATGTCCTTTTGGGTTTTTCCATCAAGAACTTCTTAAACCAGTTTAATTTCTTTGGAACCAGACTGAGATTCAAACCATATCTATTGTGTTTCCATGCTGTGTATGAAGAGATGAAGTTTGTGCTATTTGTTAGAATATGAGAACTGTTTCAATTTATCCTAATAAACTTGCAATATCCATTTTTAAATAACTTGACTTATGTGATACTATTTCTCTAAGTCAAAATATTAGAAAAAAACAGGACACCAGGCGTTTTGGAATTTCCTGTAACATTAGCTGAGCTAGGTAAAGGTCTCTGATGACTCGCTGTGATTTCTTGCATCACAGAAACACACTCTACTTTCTCCTAACACCAATTAAAACATGCCAAAAATTTATTAAAACCACAAGAACTTTCAGTTTCTTTATTCTCAGAGAGATCTGATTTCCCCATAATTCCAGGCAGATGCCTCTGTCTGGTCTCCCTGCAGCAGAGCTTTGCTGTTTTAAGGAAACACGAGAAGCTTTTCACAGGCTACTTCTTGGAAGTGCTGAGCCTGCACGGTGTCAAAGCTCCAAACAGCCTGGGCAGCTGTGACAGTTCTGACACATGAGATGGTTGTATGAATGTGAAAGAATCAGGACGTGACCAAATCCCCAACCCCGCTCCATCAGATCACCAGAAACTCAGCTCAACAGGCAGGTGGAGGAGCAGCAGAGAGGCAGCACCACAGCACATGGAGCCAGGAGAGAGCTCAGAGAATGCAACCTCCCAGCTCAAAGAGGGTTGTACAGTAAGGAAAATGAAGGACTTCACAAGCTTAGCCTAGAACTGGGAGTCATTAGAAAATAAGTTCATTGGACATGGGAAGAAAAAACATCCATAGGGCAAAGTCCCACAAATCTCCCTAAACCACAAATTCAGACCCAAGAGCTCCAAGAGAGGAGTCCAGCCACAAGTGGAATGGGAGGGCACAGGATTATGTCAGGCAACTCCAAAACATGAGGAGAAAGGTCAGGAGAAGAATAAGGGGACAGAGACAGATCAGTGATGACAACCTAGGACCCAGAGGACAAACACGACATCCCACAGGGGTGACAAAGAGCTGAAGGGCAGGGCTGGGGATGCTGCACTGCAGTCACAGGTGGCAGCAGCAGAGGCTGTGCAAGGACTAAAAAAAGACTGAGACAGCCAACGTGAGAATCTGCCCTGGAGTAGAACTGCTCCCATCCAGGAAGGCAAGAGAGCTGACCCAGGAGAACAGATCCATACGAGGCAGCCAAGAACACAGGAACAGCCAGGGCAGATGGGGAGGGACTGAAAAGAATGGGATGAGACAAGGGAATCAGACAGGAAACACTGAGTTACAGTGTGGGCACGGGATCAGGATGTGTGTTTGCTGCAGAAACAGGGACAGCCTCAAAAAGAGAAGCAGTGCAATCAGAAGGGAGGTACGACAGGAAAGGCAGGAGGAGATGAAGAAGCTGTGGAGCAATCCATCAGCAGCCACTGGAGGAACACACTTGCAAAATGTCATGACAACATATTTGGTGTGGGCTTCTTTTCACCAGGCAGCCTTTCCAGGCAAAAATGGTCACGGAGACAAAAGAAAGTAGTTCAAGTTACACTCCGTGGTATGCACAACAAGAGAGTGGGAAGCAGCTGCTCAGAGCACAGCCCCCCATTAATGATGGCAGCAGGTACCAACATGGGCCAGGCAGAAAACTAACAGAGTGGGGGACAGGCTGAGCGTGACTGGAGTTCATCTGCCTCCAAATACAACCAAACAACTGAAAATGTGTAAGCAGCCAGCACCCCATGATCAGACAGTGTTCCATGACTCACTGCCCAAGGCTGGCTTTCCACTAATAATCCCGAGGGCACCAAACCCACCACTGAAACTACATCAGTGATTCCAACTCAGCCCAAATTTGCATAGGGTTTGACTCACACAGAAGAAACTGTAACTATTTTCTACAAAGACAGGCAAAGGAGTATTTATGAATTTCCACGTGCGTGGCCAAAGCCCCTGACACATCCTCAGCAGTCCAGAGCAGCAGAGCAGAGCGGTTTGCTCGTGGCACACGCGATCTCTGCGATCAGACCCCGCGAGCTCCCCGCTCCCGACGCTTCCTGCGGCGAGGGTTGGCCAACTTCCTCTCGGCTGCACCAGCCCCAGCGTGAAAGGGGCCATTTTAAGCAGCTCAGCTCTGAGCACACTCTCTGTCCTCCTGAGGCTTCAAACAACAGAGTAAGACGATGCTTGCTTGAGAGAAGATAAATGTACAGGTAAGGATCAACTTCGACAGGGAAAAGCTCAGTATTTGTATTATTTGGGTTGAAATGGAGCTGCACCGTGTCCAGCACCGTGCACATCCCAGCTCCAGGGTGTGTGCACAGCTCTTGTTGAATGTCTGTATCTTAAAAGCATCAGGGTTTCAAATATGTTGTTTGGGGATGTTACTGTGAATTACCATGAAGTCTACATCTAACTATTATTTGTCTCTCTTTTGAAAAGAGGTGAGCAGAATAAAAATTCAATTGAACCATTTTAACCTGTAACAAACCTGACAGAGTTCAGATCCTGATGTTCTCAAGATGCATTAACTACTCATGTGTGTTTACACTGCTGCATCTAAAATTCAATTTTGCATATTTGTAAACCCATAAAGACTCATGCATATTCATTTCCCAGAAATAGCTTCACAGGACTAGCACTATTGCAGCTAATGAATTAGCTCAAATTGCATGAAAGTAACTTCAGAAGGATAAGTTCTGTGTAGGGGGTGGATTTTATAGCATTTATTTCATAAGGAGATGTTCAGAGATCTGAACTCTAATCAGTACAGGAAAAAAAAAATCTGTCTCATGCCAACAACTGAACATTTGTACAATCTCCTCCACTGCCCCATGCAGGAATTTGTTTATAAAACAGTTTACCATTAGAATGCTGTTCCATTACAGCACCAGTACTTGGGAAACTTTTAAAATATTTTGCTATGCTGAAGAGATGTGAGAACAGGAAATAAAAGACCTGTGATTTAAGAGATCTGTGAAGAGCCTTTTACTTTGTTCTCATATTATATTCACCACAACAAACCATTTCTTCACTCCTGACAACGCTGTGTGTCAACCCTGCTGCCAGTGCTGCAGAGTGTGTTCCAGGGCCATGACCAGCTCCATGACTGACAAAGGTTATTTTGAAACCCTGTCAGGATTGCTCTGCTGATACCTTTTTCTGATAAGGTGAAATAAGATAATAACAATCAAGACATTCTCTTCTGAAAAGTCACTTAATTACAATAATCAATAATGTTGAAAATCTGCTGTTATTTGTAAAGTCAGTGGCAAACCTGCTGATCATGCATATGGGAATAGGTTTGAAATTTGAAACATTGGGTCAAGTGTTATTTCACTACAATGGTACTGATGCAAAACTGCCTGGAGGCAGCAAAGTGTAACTATACAACAAATGCAGTTTTCAAGTTACCATGTTCTGTTTCTTCCCTGCATTAGGAGAGGACACATTTAAAGAGGCTGGAGGGAAATGGCCAGCAACCAGGTCATCCTGGTTCTCTTCTGTGGAGAAATCTGGAAGTCCCTTTCCACAGCAGCACCTGGACCCAGTGTACACCCATCTGGTCCAGCATTGGCTGTTACAACACCTCGGGTGCCCACAGGAGAGGAAGAGGCTGGTGATGGCAGCTGGGTAGCAGGACTGTTAATTGGCATTGTTCTGCTGGGTATGATATTGGCAATTATGGTGATTCTCCTGTGGAAATGCTGCCTGAGGCCTGGGCCTGCTCTGGCCAATTCCCACTGGGCAGGCCGATCTCCCTTTGCAGATGGAGACACTCCAGACCTCTTCCTGGACTCTGACCAGGACAACAAACGGTCTTCAGTTTTATTCATGCTGCCTTGGAAACTGAAACAAGGCCCAAACTTACAGCAGGATCCTACTGGATCAGAGAACCCATCCCAGCACACTACCAGCAATGAGAACGGGCAGCTGCCTCCCCCGGCCGGAACAGCAGCTCCCAGCACAGACCCACCTCCAGCTCCCTCCTCGGAAACAGGGAACGCTGCAGGTGACTCCTGTCCTCACCCAGATGCTCCACCTGAGTCTCACGACCTGCCACCTCCACCTGACTGGCTCCAGGAACCCCCCGAGGATCCCAGCTCGGATCCCAGCTCGGATCCCAGCAAGAACTCGGCATTTCACTCGGAAGCAGAGGAACCACTGCCCCCACCACCTGAGCTCCTTCTTCAGGAGACTGGTGAACCACTGCCCCAGCCAGAACACCCTTTGGAGACTGCCAAAAGTCATTTACAGAATACTCCACATTCTTCCTAAACTAAGTATTTTTCAAATAAGTGAAAAAAAGGGAAGTTGACGCAGGCAAGAACAGCGAGGCCACGGCACAGGCATTTCCCCGGTGTTTCCCAACTTCAGCTTTCACAAGAGGGAACAACCTGCTTCTGCCTGAAGCAAATAATTTCCAAATACAATACAAATCGTGCCCACTCGTTACCTGTAGCTGGAGATTCCCGAGGTGGGAGACTCCAGAAGCCAGAGTGCACACTGCTGGGTGTGCCAGGATAGACAGATCCGTGGAAGGCACACATGGAGACGCAGCTCCGAGACAGCCCAGCTTC